AGGTCCTCACTCCATTTCTGAGTTTCTCTCCAAGATCAAGAATCTTGTTGATGCTTTAGTCTTCATTGGTACTCCAATTTCTACATCTGAGCACATTGACTACATTTTGGATGGCTTAAATGAAGAATTTCAACCTGTTATCACTTCGGTTGAAAGTCAGCCTGATCCACCAACACTTCACAATCTGGAATCCTTTCTTCTCACATTTGAATCAAGGTTTGAAAAGAACAAAAATAAGGTACTATCTGATGCTCTTTCTGTAAATGTGGCCTCTTGTTCACCTTCATCTTCTCCTCATGACTCTTCGTATTCTCGGTCCTCTTCATTGGCTCCAACAACTGATTACTCTCCTAAGACTGAACCCCAAGGACCTACACAATATGGTTATGGAGGAAATGGAAGCTTTCGTGGCAACAGAGGGCGTCGTGGTGGCCGTTTCAGAGGAGGAAGGAGTTCTCATCGTTCTTCCTCTTCGTTTTGTGATTACTGTCAAAGATTTGGCCATGACCTAAGTGTTTGCTACTTTGCACCACCTCCTTATGCAACAACAACATCACGATTTAATCCACCTGGAAAATACATACCGTCTTACTTGCCACGTCACTCCAGAACAAGTGCTTATTCTTCCAGTCATATTCCTAATGGACCTCAGAGATATCCAACCCATTACTACCCTGATTTTTCTTCAGATTTTCATTCTCATAATCAAGACTACAATAATCGGTTTGATGACTCTCTTCTAGGTCCTGGTCCTCATATGCAAAGACCTCATTACAACAACTATCCCATGGCTGCTACTGCTACATCACAGGATCCTCTTCTTCACAGAGATACTAAACACGTTTCGTGGTATCCAGATTCAGGAGCCACAAATTATCTCACTGCAGATTCCTCACTTCTTCATGAACCAGTAGAAAAGTTTGGGCACGAGCAAATCTATATGGGTAATGGTATTGGAATTCCTATAAATTCTGTTGGATCCTCTTCCTTTACTTCTTCTTTTCCTAATTCACCTGCCTTTTCTTTAAAAAATCTTCTTCTTGTTCCTTCAATTACAAAGAACCTTCTAAGTGTTTCAAAATTTGCTAAAGACAATTCATGCTTCTTTGAATTTCATCCTAACCACTGTTTTGTCAAATCTCAGGGTACTAATCAAGTGTTACTCCAAGGGTCTCTAACCAAAGAAGGGCTCTATGTCTTTGATGGACTTCATCAAAATTCTGGTCACTGTTTTCCCTCTGCTTTAGTTTCACATAAGTCTGATTGTTCAAGTTTGATTTCTTCAATTCCTAGCTCATGTAATAATTCTAGTACAAGTACTTTCTCAGTTTGGCATTCTAGGCTAGGTCATGCTCATGAAGCTATTGTTAGACATGTTTTGAAACAATGTAAAGTTCCTCATATTAATAAAACAGCCATTGATTTTTGTACCTCATGTTGTATGGGTAAATCTCATAGATTACATTCTCCCACTTCAACTACTGTCTATAATTCACCTTTTCAATTGGTATATGTTGATTTGTGGGGTCCTGCTCCTGTTTATTCCATTACAGGATTTAGGTATTATCTCTCCATAGTGGATGCTTATACTAAGCACACTTGGATCTTTCTTCTCAAACAAAAGTCTGAAACACTCAGGGTGTTTCAATACTTTCTGAAATATGTTCATACTCAATTTCATGTCACTTTGAAAGCAGTTCAAAGTGACTATGGAGGAGAGTTTAGACCTTTTAGTGAATTTCTTAAATCATGTGGCATTGTTCATAGAATTGCTTGCCCACATACCCATCATCAACAAGGTTCTGTGGAAAGAAAGCATAGACACATTGTTGAAACCGGTCTAACTCTTTTAGCTCATGCTAATTTGCCTCAAGTATATTGGGACCATGCTTTTCTGACTGCAGTCTTTCTAATAAATAGGCTGCCTACCTTTACTCTGAATCTTCAAAGTCCCTATCAGCTTCTCTTTGGTCATTCTCCTGATTATTCTCAGTTGAGAATCTTTGGTTGTGCTTGTTTCCCTCATCTCAGACCCTTTAATAAACACAAACTTGATTTTAGAAGTTCAGAATGCACCTTTCTAGGATACTCATCTAATCACAAAGGATTCAAGTGTCTATCTAAGGAAGGGAAAATTTACATCTCTAAAGATGTTGTTTTTAATGAACACATCTTCCCTTTTGCTGAAAAACCACCTGAGGCAGTTCCCTGTTCAACTGATCCTAATACCTCTTTAATGAACTGTCCTCCAGCAATTCATGTGTATAAACCTCTTACTGCTTCCACATCTTTCCCTAGTCCTTCACAGCATCCAGCAAGTACAACACCTTCTTCTATTGGCATTACAGAAACAACATTACCTGTAACCAGTCCCACTGTTCCAACAGCTGCAAATTCTGGTTCATCATCCTACTGTCCTTCTTCAACAGTATCTCCTAACTTGTCTATTCATCCTATGCAGACAAGATCTAAATCAGGAATATCTAAAACCATTTATCCTAGTGTTCATCTTGCTCATATTGAACCATCTAGTGCCAAAAAAGCTCTTACCATACCTGTTTGGAAACAGGCTATGCAAGTTGAGTTTGATGCTCTTATGGCACTAAACACTTGGACTCTTGTACCTCTTCCTCCTCACAAGCAAACAATTGGGTGCAAGTGGGTATTTAGAATTAAAGAGAATCCTGATGGTACTGTTAACAAATATAAAGCAAGACTAGTTGCTAAAGGGTTCCATCAAAAGCATGGAGTTGATTACAATGAAACTTTTTCTCCTGTTGTGAAACCAGTCACCATCAGAATCATTCTCACCTTAGCTGTCACTTTTCAGTGGAAACTTGAACAACTAGACATCAACAATGCATTTCTAAATGGATTCCTTGAGGAAGAGGTCTACATGAATCAACCTGTTGGTTTTCAGCATTCTGACAAAACTCTTGTTTGCAAATTGAACAAAGCTATCTATGGGCTCAAACAAGCACCAAGGCAGTGGTTTGAAAGACTAAAGGGAACACTAGTCAGCATTGGTTTCAAAGTAAGTAGGTGTGATAATTCATTGTTTATTCACACTTCAACAATCTATCAATTGTATGTCCTTGTCTATGTTGATGATATCATAGTTACTGGATCTTCCTCTAAACATGTCAAACAAGTCATTACTGCCCTTAGTACAACATTTGCCCTCAAACAACTAGGAAACTTGGATTACTTCTTAGGCATTGAAGTGCATCACAGGACAGATGGTTCTCTTTTTCTCTCTCAATCCAAATATATAAGAGACCTTCTTGACAAAGCAAATCTATCCTCTGCAAAATCAAGTGTTACTCCAATGCCTAGCAACTGTAAACTGACTAGACATGGGACAAACTATTTTGAAGATCCTACTTTCTATAGGTCTGTTGTTGGGGCTCTTCAATATGCTACTGTAACAAGACCAGATATTTCCTATAGTGTCAACAAGGTGTGTCAGTTTCTAGAAAAACCTTTAGTGTCTCACTGGACAGCAGTAAAAAGGATTCTTAGATATCTTCAAGGAACCAAATCCTTTGGCCTCTCTATTACTTCAGCTAAAGTCAGTTCTTTCAATTCAGAAACTCATCCTCTCCCCTTAAATGCCTTCTGTGATGCTGACTGGGCATCAGACATGGATGACAGAAAATCTACCTCTGGTGCTTGCTTATTTCTTGGACCAAATCTTGTTACCTGGTGGTCTAAGAAACAAAACACCATTTCCAGATCTAGCACAGAAGCAGAATATAGGAGTCTAGCTTTGGCTTCTCAAGAGCTTATGTGGATTGAATCCTTACTCACTGAACTCAAGATCAACTTCAATGTTCCTACTATCTACTGTGATAATCTGAGCACAGTAGCCATGTCACATAATCCTGTTCTCCACAACAGGACCAAACACATTGAGTTAGACTTGTATTTTGTAAGAGACAAAATACAAAACAAGACTCTCATAGTCAAGCACATTCCTTCAGAACTTCAAACAGCTGATATATTGACTAAACCTCTACCCAACAACCAATACATCACTCTAAGGAATCAACTTCAACTACAAGATAAAGATGAGACTGATCTAGCAAAGGACAACAACCCTAAACTTCAGGGGGATATATTAGAGTGATAGCTGAATTAGTTTTATTGTATTAGAGTGATAGCTGAATTAGTTTTATTGTTACAATATATTAAGCTAACTAACTAATAGTTAGTTAGTTACTATTCTGTTAGGTTTAGTTACTCATTTTAGTTAGCTCATTTTGTATTCTATAAATAAAGTAGCTGTGGCTACTGTTCATCACAATAATAATAATAATAATAATCAGAAATAACACTTCACAATTATATTCTCTCTCTCTCTCTTAAGTTCACTCTCTCTCTCTATTCTCCAGAACATTCTTCACTCTTCTTCTTCTTCCTTTTCTTCTTCTTCTTCGTTTCTCTTCGTTTACATGCTGATTGCTTAATTGACAATGAACTAAGTCTTTGAAACTTAACCACTATATTTCTAGTGACTACTCCGATTACAGACTTGCGGCACAACTGCACTATAGAGCCAGTTCAGCCAGGCATTCCCTAACAGGGTCCTTAATTTTTGTTTCCAGGAGAGGAGGAGCATTAAGACTGAAAGGAAATCAAGATGTAAAAGCCACCCTAGGAGAAAGAGAGCATTTATTATATCATCATGTATGTATCATGTTTGGCCAAGAAACCAGGTAAGCGTAGTATACCTAGGTAGTCAGTTCTGGATAGAGGAGCGTAGAGGCTGACCCCAGCAATTCTATAGTGGGGTAGCACCATAGCAGGATGGCCTCTACAACGACATGTAGGGAGACATCATAAAAAAATTATAATACAAATAAAAATTTAACTAATACACAAAATTAAAGAGATATTTGTAATTAATAATTAAAATGCAGACAGAGAAGATAAAGGAGAAGATGAAAACCCAACAAAAATTTATATCTAGTTGCAGAAGAAACATAATCTATAGAGTTTTAAAAGTGCATCATATGCGACAAAAGCCACGGTAAAAGGCAAAACATAGAACCAACTGCATAAAATGCACAAGACAAACTCAAAACACACACAAAAGAAGACAAAATGCACCACAGCCCATTAATAACAGTAATATGAAACACACTGCTTAAAGTGAATTTAATATTTTAATATAAAGAAACATGAAAGGGTATTTCACACAAGGTTGCATGGGACCCGATAGGGTTGCATGGTTAGGGATTATTAATGGGTCGAGGACCTGCGCTTTCACGCCGTCGTCATTGTCGCAGACGAATCTCGCTATGAAACCCTCTATGGTGGCTGCAAAAGTGGCCCACACCACCCGCGACACATAAATGCAATGAAAGGGTATTTCACACAAGGTTGCATGGGACCCGATAGGGTTGCATGGTTAGGGATTATTAATGGGTCGAGGAGCTGCGCTTTCACGCCGTCGTCATTGTCGCAGACGAATCTCGCTATGAAACCCTCTATGATGGCTGCAAAAGCAGCCCACACCACCCGCGACACATAAATGCAATGAAAGGGTATTTCACAAGAGGTTGCATGGGACCCGATAGGGTTGCATGGTTAGGGATTATTAGTGGGTCGAGGAGCTGCGCTTTCACGCCGTCGTCATTGTCTCAGATGAATCTCGCTATGAAACCCTCTATGGTGGCTGCAAAAGCGGCCCACACCACCCGCGACACATAAATACAATGCTCATGTCAATAGTGTGGCAACGACCCCCAGAACAGAATGCGATCACCCGCTATACCGGCTATTAGACAATACTGTTAGATAGTTTGTTAAAATGTATTTTAGTTTGTTATATTAGTAATTAGTAACAGTAGAGTAACTAATTCAGCTAACTGTCTTAGTTAGCTTGTTGTAGTCTTCTCTGATAAATAGGGTTTAGGTTTCTCTTTGTAATTCAAGAACTCAGTTTATAAAATTTGAGAAGTGATTTTACTCTCTCTCTCTCTCTCTCTCTCTCTCTCTCTCTCTCTCTTCTTCACTTTCTATTATTCACTGTTTGATATTTCTTATACCGGCACAATTGACTACCTATTAGTATACATCAAAACCATTCGATTATAAGAATAATGCAAAAAAGCAGACCAAACATTCAGCAGTTCCAATCCCAAATCTTCTGAGTTATGTTTTTTGGAATAAAACGGTGTTTCTCAACTTATCTCGTAATACAACTCAAGTGAACAACCCTTTCAACCTGGAATGCATATTGAAATTTAAAGGGACCCTTAATCCATCCAGACATGCTCACTTTCACTAGTAATGCCATAATGTGTGGTTCAACTAAATCCAGGGTTCATTAGAAAATTATACAATAGAATAAATGTAAGCAGTTGCAGCTGCTAATTTCTCCCTCTACTTCTTTCACTCCAATCTCATGCACAGAAGAACACCCTTTTTCCACTCAGTTTTCTCCTATCGAAAACAAAGACAGCTTATTGAGCTCGACTATACACAAGTCAAAACAAAATACCAACATGAGGCAGTATTCAAACCTGAAGCACCTTCATAACAAATTCCTTCACAAATTAACCTAACTGAAAAGATTCTCCACAAACATGGTTCAAATTACCTAGAGTTTCACATCAAAGAGAGTAAATCTGCTAATTTCAAAAACATATTAAATCTGCTAAATTATGTTGTCCATTCACAACAATCCTCAATTACAAACCACGGAGATCTATAATCACAAAACATGTATCCAGAAACCGTATTAGAATACCTAATTGACACATCCTGAGCTAAATTGAGTTATTGCATGAAACAAATCAACTTAATCTACAAAAATTGACTTCGTTTAACTGAAACTAACGGATATAACTAACATAAAAACACATAAAAGTTAAAATTAAGAAAATCCAAAGTAAACCTTTAGGAGCGTAATGAGGCCATCTTTGGAAGAAGGAAGAGTGTGGAGCTTGGATCCCAACTCCTGGAGATGAAGGTAAGGTTCATGAGTCTTTTTCAGTGTAACGCGTGCATGAGTGTTCCTACGAGATTTGGTTTTGGTTTGAAATGAAATGAAGTGAAGTGAAGAAGTAAGAAAAGAAAAAGAGAATGTTTCTTTGGTTCTTGCTTGCTTGTGTTACGTAAGCCAAAACTCACTTTTGTTTTGCATAGATGCCACCAATCTTTTCGTATTTTCGAATCTTTCCCGTTTCAACTTTTTTTTATTACAATTTGGTAATAATGGAGAGTTGGTTTGGAGTTATATACTTGTTTCAGTTGTTTATTATTACCGTTAGTGCTAACCTTAAACTTGTTTCAGTTGTTTATTACCGTTAGTGTTATAATTGCTAACCAAATTAATATATTTGTATAGTGATGCTTAGGGCCATCAATTTTACATTAATTATACATGCTAGTTTCTTTTTTAGTGGATTTGCATTTACTGCTTGCTTGCTAATAGGGCCACCCGTGGACATTATGGGGCCAAAAAAATTTTGTAGGCCCAACCCAACTGCTCAACTCCATTCATCAATTTCACCTCACCCAACGGTCCCAACTTAAAAATTACTCTAACTAGGAAAATGTTTGTTGGTTGACCGCATGCCTATTTATCCGTTTTAAAATGGACAGGACATATGATTTTGTCTATTAAGATTTTGCGGACACAATGGACAGGACATCTCTAATGAACTCATTAGTTCAGAGATATTTTATTGATTATAAGAAATTAATGATAATCCTCATTAAGTAAGCATGAATTTGGGAAGATAAATAATCAATAGTGTAATATTTATGTATTATTAGTATAAAAATTTATATATAATTACTACATTGTTTATCATTTATTTTTATTATTCATGTTTAAAAGTCATTGATGATTAAATATAAAATGGGTGATTAGGGGATGAGTAAACAATTCTACAATGTCCGAAATCGCGAGAATCAATGAACATTTAGCATGTGGGGCTCGACATTCGTTTGAAACTCAACTCATTGTATAGTTCGATAAACTTGGTTCATGTACCAAATGAGCGAAACTTAAATTAAAAATTAAACTCATTAAATGGACGAACCGAGTTTGAGTCAAGCACAATTCGACCTATTAGGTTGATGAATTAGCTTGGTTGTATATAAATACAAGTATGATTAAATATATGTACGTAGAAAATGTTTAATTTTATATATGTTGTGTTTTGTACATTATTATTATATTTATTTATTATTCATATTTAATTATCATTTTTAAATAATATATTAAGTAGAAAAGGAATATATGATTAAGTATAAATCTAGTATATTACATTTTTTAAAATAATAATAAAAGACAATAAAGTAAGATAAGTTATATCCTCTAACCACTAAAAGAAAGAATGACATGCGTATTGTTTGGTTTAGTTTTAGAAATATTTTTGTAGAAAATGATTAAATGGTACATATATCTAAGAATAGCAATGGGTACACGGATTTGCGGGTACCCGCAAAATACCCGTAACGGGTCGGGTCTGGGTCCATGTTTTAGACCTATGGGTAATTGAGACCCGCTGTTAGATGGGTCTGGATCCGGGTAATAAGGTATCCAGACCCGTGGGTATCCGAACCCGCTATTTCTTCATATATATATATATATATATATATATATATATATATATATAACAACCTAATTGTAATATCATGTTAATATATATTGTAATATCATATTTATCTATAATTATAATATCATATTAATTCATAAATGTGATTGTTATGTTGTTAAACTATGATGTTATGTTGTTAAGCGATGATATTATGTTGTTAATTCATATGTATGATGTAATGTTATGTTAATCGAATAACATTCTAATGTTGAAGTTGTTTTTAATGTGTTATAGTAAAATGAGTTATGTTTAATAGTTAAATTACGTTGTTTTTTAAACTTTAAATTAAGTTTTATAATTTTTTCTCTTGTTTAAATAACATATAAGATCATATGAAACAAATACACAAATGCATAAGTTACTTATAATTATTTTTAATATTTTTGAATTTATGTGTACCCATTGATTCTTTGGGTACCGAAGGACCCGCGGGTAGTAGACTCAACGGGTATTAGCATGAGTCTGGGGCGGGTCTGGATCCAAAAACAAAGCAGCGGGACATGTCTGGATAATGCACTACCCGGACCCATCCAGACCCATTGACATCCTTACATGTATCACGATTTTAGTTGCTGAATATCTCCTTATATAAGGAGATACCTCTAATAAAAATATAAAATAATTTAGTATTATATATATTGATTTATTATAGGAGTTAATTTTGTTTGAAGAAAATCTGGTGTGTCCCTTTTGGAAGCCCTAATAGCAGTTACAATGGCGGAAGTGGAAGAAGCGCAACCAACAGTAGACGACGGCGACGTTGTTAAAGCAGAAGAACCCAAAAATGACGAAAAAGCCCTCGACGACCGTACACCTCTATCGAAGAACGCGCAGAAGAAGGTTCTGAGGCAGAAGAGGTACGAGGAGAAGAAAGCAGAGAAGAAGGCATTGGAGAAGGAGCATAAGAAGAAGGAAGCAGAGAGAAAGAGAAAGGAATGGGAAGAGAAACTCACGAATGTTTCAGAAGAAGAGAGAGTGAAGCTTATAGAATCTAGGAAGAATTTGAGGAAGGAGAGAATGGAACAGAGGAATGAAGAGAAAGAGAAGAAGAAAGAGAGGCTTATGAAAACTAAAGAGTTTGGTCAAAACGTCGTCGTTGATCTCGAATTCTCTCATCTCATGACTCCTAACGAAATTCACAGCCTCGTTCAGCAGGTACGGTTTTAATGGTTTTATTCACCATTAATTCATCACTTTTTATGCATATTATATCAATTTTAGTTCCTGATATTAGTAAATTATAATTTTGATCCTGAAAGTTGTTCAATTAGAGTGTCTTTTCAGGGGCTAAATATTCAGTGTGTGTTTAGCATTACAATCTTATAGCTTCTTTGGTAGATTATACCATAGTTACATGGTTATTGGTGGTACTATTAACTATTCCGGTATGTGGTAGTTGGTTCTTTGTGTTTGTCACTCTTTTACGTCATTATTACAAGACTTCTTTTACAAGGAACTACTACGTGTATGTGGTATGCCGAATTTGGTACTATTATGGGGGAACCATGTAATTTGGATTATACTATTATAGCATATTGTCTCGGTCTAGAAGCTTGTATAGCTGTTTGCTGGAAAAATATAGAAAGATTGTAACTTTAGAAAGCTACTTTATGGGCTTTTCAAAAGCTATAAGCTCTTCCAATCATTCATGTCTAATTTTTGCCTTTTAGTTTTTCAGCAAATGACAATTTATACCCAACCAAGTATGTCCTTTTAACTTGTTTGACAATTTTTTGCTAGTTGTATAACTAGGTTTGCGAATAATTCAATCACCTAGCTACTTAACTATAAGCTTTCAGTTGCAATCTCACAACTTTCATTTAATGGACTCAAAATATTTAATGTAATGATAATAGTTGAGACTGGAGATTGAAATCTTGAATTGATGATTGTGTGAATGCAATTTTTTGTTTGACAATTTTTTATTCCCAACCAAGTATGTCCTTTTAACTTGTTTGACAATTTTTTGCTAGTTGTATAACTAGGTTTGCGAATAATTCAATCACCTAGCTACTTAACTATAAGCTTTCAGTTGCAATCTCACAACTTTCATTTAATGGACTCAAAATATTTAATGTAATGATAATAGTTGAGACTGGAGATTGAAATCTTGAATTGATGATTGTGTGAATGCAGATCATGTATTGTTATGCAGTGAATGGAAGATGCAGTTCCCCTGCACATCTTTGGCTGACTGGATGCGATGGGGAAATGGGGAGCCAATTACAGAGGATCCCTGGATTTGATAAGTGGATAATTGAGAAGGAGAATGAATCATATATTCAAGTATTGCAAGATCGTAAGGAAAATTTGGTATATCTCACAGCAGATTCAGAGAATGTTGTTGAAGAACTTGATTTAAACAAGATATATATTATTGGTGGGTTAGTGGATAGAAACCGTTGGAAGGGAATAACCATGAAGAAAGCAGAAGAGCAAGGAATCCAAACAGCTAAACTCCCAATAGGAAATTTCATCCAGATGTCCAGTTCCCAGGTATTATTCATCCACTCCTCTTTTCCTCCTTTCACAATGGAATATAACATCCGTTTTTGCCTTTATTTTAATCCAAAGCAGACAGAGGGTTATTTCAAATTGATCAAACCCTTAAGCCTTACCACAAATTAAAAGTTATAGTGGCTATGCTGCAACTGTATTGTTTTTTATTCCGCAGCTAGCTTACTTTGAAATGCCAACTAAATATAGGACTTAGTAGACATGCTAGAACAAAATAAAACAGAACATATGAGGTTCCACAGTGTAGTTTGTAAACAGGAAAAGGACTAAAAAGTATGGGTGAGCAGGACTCGACTCTATCCGCTCACCCGGCTTGGCTCGATCATCGGGCCCAAATAGGATCGGGTCTCATCGGGTCTAGGGTCAGCTTCAAAAATTACACCTGGACAATATTTAGGGTCGGGTAGGGGACAAGCATGACCCGTCCCATGGTTACTCACTTACCATGTTTGTATTGTCTATATTCAATTGTGTATAAAGTAATGACATCTCTTTGGTCGAAAGTATCATTGATTCTCTAATTTTTTATCATACATGATTAACATTATATATTCATATATCATTTCATATGTCAAATTACATCTCCATGATACTAAGTAAAATATTGAGAAAATTTTATCTAAAAGAGGTAATCATTATATAATTATATTTAATCGGGTTTATGTTCGGGTTTAAAGGTTGTCTCAGTCAATATTTGGGGTTAGGTTAGCTTCGGGTTTAGAGCCGGGTCCGGGTTCAAAAAATTGACCCTACCAACATTTAAGATCAGGTAAGGGACAAGCCTTACCCGGCCTTTGCTCACCTGTACTAAAGAGTAAAATAGTTTGGTTGGAATCATAGGGAAAAGAGTAGAACATACTGTTGTATATTCCGTTCAGTCTTTGTGCCAAACCTAATGAATAAGGCAGTCAATTTCTAAAGGTGAATCACTGCAGTCTTTGGCATTACACTTTGTTTTCCTTTACTTTTCTTCTCTTGCTGAATTGGTTCGAACATCTGCAAGTAAGATTTGGAGGTTTTGCATTGCAAATTGTAGT